GGCTGAAACATGGACACTTAGGGCAGTAGATCAGAAACATCTGGAAAGTTTCGAAATGTGGTGTTGGAGAAGGATGGAGAAGATCAGTTGGACCGATTATGTGAGAAATGAAGAAGTGTTAATTAGAGTCAGTGAGCAGAGGAATATCCTACACGAAATAAGAAAATGGAAGGCTAATTGGATTGGTCATGTTTTACGCAGAAACTGCCTTCTAAAAGAAGTTATTGAAGGAAAGATAGAGGGGCGGATAGAAGTGACAAGAAGACGTAAGAAGATGCTGGATGACCTTGGGGACAGAAGAGGATACTGTCATTTGAAGGAGAAAGCTCTAGATCGCATTAAGTGGAGGAATTGTTTTGGAAGGGACTGTGGACCTGTCGTCTTGACAGATTACTGATGATGATGTTGGTACCTGGTGAATATGACCATTTTGGCTCCAAAGTAGGGGCCCTTCAAATTTACTCCAAAATATAAAATACTGATTTTCTCGAAAATGGTGGTATGAGATGGATTAAATTTGAGAATGTTATGGTGACCCTCTCCCTAAATAAAACGGCTTAAGTGGTATCTTCAAAAAGATAAAAGGGGCACTGATGGTTACAAAATGTGTGTATGTCCTAGTTTATATAATTAGTGACAAAAAATTGTGTAAAAAAAATTAAAAGTAAAGCTATCCCTGTAACAGGCCGTGAAGGCCCATGGGGTTGTGAGACGTTCAGGGTCCCACATTATCTAGACACTCGGCTCAAAGATGGTGGCAAGGTTGTCAGCCTTATGCGCCTGTCACAGTTTACTCCCCAGGAAAATTATTTAGTTCCTGGTACTCATTTCTGTTAGAGGCTGAGTCAACCCCAGGGCCATAGTGCGGCTAGAAGGTTTAGGTCAATTGAAAAAAACCAAATGACCTCATCGGGACTTGAACCCACGACCTTTCGGCTTGTTGCCTCAACCAGTTATGCTGCTGCGTGCCCGACCAAAAATTGTGTACCAAACAAAAATCAGCTTTTTCTCTGAGGTGGCGTAGTCAAGGTCATTTGTGTGTGAGAGAGTATGTACAGTGTTTTGCACCAATTTTTCACCAGTGAGACCCATTACCTCTGATTTAAAATCTAGCTGCAAGCCCCACGGTATTGGGGGGGGATCGAATAATCCCATGTTCCCAAACAGTACAGGTTGTACATGAATTGATGTTGGTGCTTTATCACAGAATTAATTTGAAGGGCCTTGTCTGTAGATTGCTGAAGCTCTTTTGTAAACAGTTACATTTATTTACAGACATGTAGTGAATCTTCTGATGAATGTGCCAGACAACTGCTATGAGAAGCTGCTCACCCCTGCACACAGAAGTCCACATGATCCACCTAAGGAGTCTGAGTATGATGGCAAAAACATGGAAGCACTGGTTTTGCTTTTAGACTTTCTGGACTCTAAGTTGGACATGGCAGAACAGGTGAGTAATATTATTTTCTAAAGAGTAAATGTGAGGAGGCTGGTCATGGTAGCCGTGTGGTCTAAGGCATATACTGTCTTTCCTCACTTGGAAGCCGGGATCGTGGGTTCGAATCCCACACAAGGCATGGATGTTTGGTGTGTATATGCATTTATTCTGTGTTTATGTTGTCCTGTGTTTAGGCAGAGGCCTTGCAACAAGCTGATCATCCATCCAAGGAGTCCTACCGTGTATAAAATGATCAATGGAACTGAGAAATCAGCCCTGTGCTCCAAAGCGGGAGCAAGAGGAGAGAAAAAAATGTGAAAAAGATGGTACCTTTAAATGCCTGCAGTACAATATAAATGTTAACCATGTTTACAATTTGAACGCTTAGTTCCTCCATACAAAATAGAATGTAAGAAATTGAAATGGACCTGGCTTTCCTAACAAAATAAAAACTTGAACTAAACTTGTGATGTAAAATGGGTCATGAACATAAAGAAAGATTTAAAAAAAATTCAATCCTGGTGATGGTATGGCGGCCCTTTTTTTTTTCAAGTTTTTTTTTTCTTCTAAAAAATATGTGCCAAAAACTAACAAAGTAGAGAAAAAGTAAAGGGTAGCCAACAGTCATATTCAGTACCTGCTGTAATATAATTGAAGGGGGAACAGCGGATGTGATAAAAGAAGTTAAAGCTATCCCTGTAACAGGCTGTGAATGTCCATATGGTTGTGAGATGTCGAGGCTGTCACATTTTCTCTAGACAACAGCTCACAGATGGCGGTAAGGTCATCCTTACGCGCCAGCTGTCCTTCACCCCCCATGAAGATTCCTGGTACCCATTTCTGTTAGAGGCTTAGTTGACCCCAGGACCATAGTGCAGCTGGAAGGATTAGGTCAGTTGAAAAAATCCACCTCATCAGGACTTAAACCTGCAACCTTCTGGCTTGTAGCATGGTGCCTCAACCAACTACGCTACCACATGCCCTGGAGATGTGATATGAGAATCTTTCTTTCGGATATTGAGTAGTTTTTGATAAATGTGAGGATCGTGTTGGAAAATATCTTTTTCAGAATATATTCACACACTGCTTCTCATGTGCAGAACTGCTGAAGATGCTTGTAGCAATACAAATGCATGCCCGGGACAGACTGTGCTGGAAGAAGAACCCTCATCTCACAAACTAAAGGCATATGAATGCAAGAAATGGCTCCATGATATTACTGCTATTGTAGCATAATAATACATGTGATGTACTAATTTTTCCACCAATAGAGCATAGTTTTTTTTTTCATTATGCTACAAGCTGGAAGGTCACAGTTTTGATTCCCAATGAGGTCACTGGATATTTTCAATTGACCTATTCCAGCTGCACTGTGGCCTTGGAGTGGGACTCAGTCTGTAACAGAAATGAGGACCAGGAATCTTCCTGGGGGTGCAGGGTGGCCAGTGCATAAGCTGGCCTCACTGCCATCTGTGAGCCGATTATCTAGAAAATATGGAAGATTCAACATCTCACAGCCCTGTAGGCCTCAACAGCCTGTTGCAGGGATAGCTTTACTTTTTACATGTGGGTGGGTGTTGCACAGGCAATGTGAAATGAATATTCTGCTGTAAAGTAATCCCCATTGAAATTAGTCCTTAGCAGGTTTCACTTCATTTGTAAGCATATTACAGTATGAAGATACATTTGGAAGACCTGGGAATAGATAGAAGGGTAATATTAAAGTGTATACCACTGAAATAGGATGCTAGGGTATGGACTGAATATCTAGCCCAGGACAGGGACAGATTGGTGGGCCTTATGAATCCAAAGGTTTCTTACTGTTAGTGAACCTTTTAGTTCCATGAAGTCCTGCAGATATCTTGACTCACTGAGCAACTGTTAGTTTCTTAAGAAGGATGCTGATTCATGGAATAGTTTTGTGTGTTTCCTTGACACTGTCATTGAAAGTAATTGCAGTATCCACTGAATTTTTTGTATGCAAGTTGCACCTCACACTGGCCATAGACTTTTCAGTTTTGGTGTATACTGTTGACAGAATATGAAGTCTCAGAATGACCTCTGCCCCACATTGTTTCTGCTGACAAAGTGTGTACGCCACCACCGCTCAATTCGTAAATTCCTACGTCAGCGTGTACTTCCTCCTCTAACAGAAGTTCATACTCGGCCTGAAGAGGGCAGCACCCTGCGTAATAAACTGTGTCGCCTTCTTACTACTCCTTTTACGCAAGTTCGTGGTTTAGTCGAAGAGTTCCTCTTCATCCTTTGTAAAGAAAACGGTGAGTATGGATTTTGCTAATGAAATGAGGGAATGCAGAGTTGTGCAGCTGACAGTTTTGGTCATCATGAATATGTTTGCTTCCAGTGTATTGTCATTTCACATGCAGGAAATGATGAGCAGTAGTATCATTTTTTGAACATGGCTGATTCTTTACTACTGGCACAAAATCTTCATTGAACCATGGGAGGAAAGTATTATGAGTCACCCAGGTGGTGTTCTTTTTGGAGGACAAAATTATGACAGTAAAATCAAAAAAGAAATGTAACTGTATGAAGAAGCAGGAATAAGAGTTGCAATATCATTTCTCAAAAAGAATTGAGAAACATGTGTTTAATTACCTTAGTCTCAGTGCGGCATTTCCAACATTCCATACTAATTCCAACACTGCAGGGCTTTTCCGTAGCTCATGTAGAGAAACATTGCTGTCTCCTTAGCAAATCACTGATCATGCTCAAGGTCATATTACCCACTCAGAGTGATCAATTAGACATAGTCATTTGAATGAAGTTATTTATGAAGAAAAAATGGCAGTAGAATTTGAAACAGATTTGTTTACAAAGAAAATAAATGGAATCATTTTGAGAGACATGACTGGACCACAGTATATCTGAATCCATGGTACAGTGAGGCACATTTTAATGGAGCTTTACTGTATATGGTGCTGTGCAAACTGAACTGGTACAGAAGTTTCATACAAACCTGTTTCTCTCTTCCTCTGACAGTGATGCGCATGGTGAAGTACACAGGGTATGGAAATGCAGCTGGATTCTTGGCAAAGAGAGGTGCGATGCTTGGTGGAAGTGGAAATTTGGATTCTGGTTCAGGGGCACAGTATTCATCTGACAGTGAGGACAGTGACACAGAAGAATACAAGAAGTACAAATCTCAGTAAGTACTGGCTAATAGTCTTATTTCAGAACTGTTTTGGTAATGTAATAAACATTCATATAATCTCACAGCAGTGACCTTGAACATTACTGTCCCCTGGGATGTGATGTCATGTAGTAAAAAAAGTAAAAGTAAAGCAATCCCTGTAACAGGCCATGAAGGCCCATAGGGTTGTGAGACGTTGAGGGTCCCACATTATCTAAACAATCGGCTCAAAGATGGCAATAAGGTTGTCAGCCTTACGCGCCGGCGTAGAAAAGCGTTACTGCTTCCATTATCAGGGTTTGGAGAGCACACTCTTCTATGCTGAAGGTGAATACAGCAGGTTCCTCCAAAATACTGGTACCTTTCTGCCAGACTTCATGACATCATGTTCCAATAGACAGTAATCTTCAGGCACACAAATGTTCAGTTTATTCAACTGGGCAATTTAATCCATGCAGTACTCTACCCTTTCAAGTGGCATTTAAATTGCTGTGTGGCATTCTGTTCACATCCTTTTCAGAATATTCCACATTTTGTGTAATTGTCCAGCAAAATTAAACACATGTTTGTGGAAAAAGTAATAACAGTATGAGTTTCATTATACTTTAACACTTTTCCTCATTAGCTGGCCTGTAAAACATGTTAGAAGTGGACAACACAGACATATTTGTTGACTGCCAATAAAAAAAAAGATATAGAAACTCTTCGATGAAAGAGCAGATGGCAGAAGGCATCAAGGCCTATAGAATATGCTGCAATTCATATAGTTTCAATAACTCTCAAAAGAGAACAGTTGTAAATATATTTTTAGGAGGCTGCAAACAGCATAGCTGTACGTGTACAGCCGCTGTAGTGGCAGTGTAGAGAGTAATGTGTGTGGGCACAGGGGAACCAACTTGAAGGGTTAATATATTTTCAATAAGGNGAACCACACAGTGGACGAAGACTAAAAAGGAACTGGCCAGCCGACCTGAGAGAGGGGTAACGAGAACTTATTATGGATAAGCCCTCTCCACGTCACGAAGAGTACTACGGCAAATTAGCTTATAGAATCAGACATAATTCTGATTGCTGATATTATGTAAATAAAAAAAAAGATAATGGAATATTAATCTGCTNTTATTTGTGGTTTAAAATTTTTGCTAATTTTTTTCCAACAAGACCTGAGGAAGTGTACTGTCAGCAAATAACAAAAATCAATTTTATTTGACTTTAATCCTGTTAAGGAATGCAGGATGTGTCAGTAGTGGTTAATTTTTGAAACACTGTCTTTATCTCAAGAACTGAATCATGATAGAAATATGTAATATAGTGAAATGTTTGAATATTCATACTGCTATGGGGACAGCCCTAGTTAACACTCCATGAAGACCTGAAAGTGCCGCTGGTGAAGGAAGTCATAATGGGGAAAAGCACAAGATACCCCAACAAAATAGAAGGACATGAGAACATATTACTGGAACCACACAGTGGACGAAGACTA